TCCTTTATATGCGTGGCGGCTAGAGTCCTCTCGTCCTCTGGCTTGAGATGGCTGCCACCTATGGGTCAGATGATTGTCTGCCAGTATTAAGCAATTGGTAATTAAATATTTAATTTGTTTTCCCTAAACAGTGTAACATTTTGGAAAAAAAATTTTCACGAACATTAATTGTCTCGCACAACGAGTCTGTGTGCTAAATGTCAGCTCGATTGGATCACGGGAAGTGGGTTAAAAAACGACCGAAAGATTTGCACGGTCGTAAGCAAGCACGCAAGCACGCAAGCAAGCAATCGAACTTAATATAAAGGATTTAATAATTATACTCCTCTCCCTTCTCTGGGATATGTATGTATCTATCTTACATGTGTCCGTTTCTTTCTCTCCACGTTGCTCAAAATTTGTTCCATGTATCTCACCCATCGTGTCTGCATCTAGTACCTCCGAAATGTGGTCGTCCATCCACTCCCTCTCCAAGCTCAGCCCTGCTGAGCTTTCGAGATCAGACGAGACCAGGTGCATTCTGGGTTATTTGGTCATGGGAATTGTCTCAAGTATAATCAATACCATTGTCAATGACACAGGCGTCGATCTGTCAACTAAGTACACAATGGCGCAGGCGTAGTGCTGGGATATCCTGTTCTTAAAGTAATCAATGACTCTAACAGTTATCGGTTCGATTCCTCAACTAAGCGGATAACACCTCCGATTAGCGTGTTGGCTATGTACAGTGGAAAAAGAAGTTCAACATGCATACATTGTTGGGGGGTAAAAGTCTCGCCGTTGTTTCCCACTGATATGCTTGGCAATGTAGGGGGTGGCCTGCATTCAGGAGGTAAGATCTGGGGGCAGCCAGTGTTTATTGGTGCCCGAGTCAACGAACACAAAACACATATTTTTTGTTGATCCATCCAAAATGTTTAGTGAGTGCAATGACTGCTTGACCACCCACCCACCTGCCCAAGCTTTCAGCCTCGTGTTGTCTGAAAACCTAGATATCCGGGGTTAGATCGTCACCATTAGTTAATGGGCTCTCGTTTGTTATCCTTTGCGTGACTTGTGAACTACTGGACATCTGTGAACTATTTGATATCTGTGAAAAAGAGCAAAATATCTGTGACAGTTTCACCTGAAGACGGAAGCTTGTGTTGCCTCCGAAACGTCGTGATTTTATTGTTTTTATTTTTTATTAATTTTAATTTCATTTTTTACCTACGTGACTTTACCGAAAGAACTAAGAGTATGAATCCTTGCAGTCACGAAAGCTTCAAATCTAGAATGTTCCGTGTGGACTTCTGGCTGTCATTGTGCACGCAGTCCGTAGGCAAATTCTAATAAAATATTTCTGGCTCCCTTGATTGACTGGTATTGTCAGCGTGTTATATTTTCCCACAGCTTTAGTACTCATTTCCCAGAGCAATCGCGGCTTTATCACCTTTGCTCAGGACATGTCAATGAAGCATTTCGCACGATAGAGATCATTTTTTTCCTCCAAGGTGAGTGTGCTATTGTTGTGCACTGTAATTGGGTGTTAAAAAGAAAAAGAAAAAACACAAAAAGTAAAAAGGGTGAAGAACCATGAGAGGGCAGTGTGAACACTCGTAACGATTGCAGCTCTAAAAGTGTATCCAGGAAAGCCCCCTTAAGTCTCTATAACCCGGTGAGAGCTTATTGAGACACAAGTGTATTTTCCAAGGATGCTCTGAGAAAATACAATAGATATAACAATGTATAATGCAGTTTTCAGTGCAGAAAACTATTTTTACTGTATCCAGTGGGGTTTGTTTGGCACCTCAGGCAAATTCCGAAAAGACACTGTGTTGCCACCAACGAATTGATTCGGGAGCAGACAGCCTTCTAAAACGAGTCCACACCTGAGCAATGGGTTGCTCATCCAAATCGCTCACGAAATCACGCAACGTTATCTCCTGCAGTTGGTTGCTTTGTCCACATCTGAGCGAGTGGTTGCGAAACAATGAAATTAATCGGCGTATTCAGGAATGTAACGACCAATCAGAGGTTTGGGAATGTGTCCTTTCATGGAATACATGGCTTCAAATCGCTGAGCAGATTGCTGCATGAAAGTAGAACCTGTCTCTTCACTGGAAGCAACCCTGTTGTGCAACTTCCTGCAACCATAATAACGTTTTTTTTGGGTTAGATCGCGTAAATATAAATGTGTCGTTAAACCCGCCACCACCCTACATAGCCAATTCGTAAGGTTTGTCACGTAAACAGAAGGTGTCAATTAGTTACGACTTCAGCACACCGAGTGTGTTGGAGAGTAAACCTACAACATTGACAATTCGAGTACGACGTTTTGCTGGTGATTACAACCAGCTTCATCAGGCGATTAGCCCGAAATGTGAAGAAGTCCTACTGTTTCGGTCTTAAGTGGAGCAATGGTGATGGCATCACTGTGAGCCTGTTGATGTTTCTCCAAAAACACTCTTGTTTTCACAAAAACTACAAAACCCCTACCTAGAATCCTGCACAGCCCAGATATGTACAATTTTTGGCCAATATACACAATTATATAATACAGTATATCTTTTTTTTTAAATTATATCTCATGCTGAGTACCATTGAGCTTAACACGTATGTTGGTACGTCCGCGAGTGTGAATGTATGAGCGCAGGTGCCTTAATGTGTGCTCACTTGTATATACATTTCAATGTTTGCATGTGAACATAACTAACCGAATCGCTCAACTCTCAACCAGAGTTTGGAGGGGTTAGATTTAAGATAGACCACCCTTCGGCATGGATGAGAGGAATTCTCTCCCGCACTGTAACGATGTTAAATTCCACGCAGCTCTTAGCTACCAACTCAGCTCTGGCACCGCTCAGCTCGTGAGTTTAAAGGTTCCCTCGTCAGCATAATCGATATTCATGAGAAATTATTTAAGGGGCCGTCCATAAATTACGTCACGCGATTTGGTACAATTTTTGACCCCCCCCCCCCCTCGTCGCACGGCGTCACAAAAAGTCAGACCCCCCCCCCTCAAATATGACGTCACACAGCTCTGCCCCCCCCCCCAAAAAAAACATTTACATTTTGAAAATAAAACATGCTTCAAATCGCTTTAAACTATTGTAGTGCGTATTTAATGTGGCGCTGCACTGTGATGTTGTAGGAGAAAACACGTATTACAAATGCGTTGGAAAGCTTAAATTTATCATAAAATTCACTTGAAAATATTCAACGTCTAACTAAAACTGCAGATGTTCAGAATATTATATTGAAATTATCTTATAATTATAAAATATTAAAAGTAATAATAACTATAAAAAAATACTTGAAACTTTGTAGTAGAACGAAGCAAAATGGAGAGTACAATTATAACAATCACATATTCATTCCACAGAATGAAAAGCCCTTGTAGAATAATTAGAATCAAAATGTGTAATAACAATCATTCAAAAATGTACAAAATTTATGCTTCTCCATTCTCCCATGGAGAAGCAAAATGCTCCTTCATGGAATAAAGAAATAAAAGGTGACCTTAGTAAATGTAAATAATGAAATAGTTAATAATGCAAATTGATCAAAATTAGTGTTGTTATAACAATTCTATATTTATTTAAAGTTGCGTATTTTGATGTGACGTCACATTTCTCAACCCCCCCCCCCTCGTTACACATCGTTACAAATGTCTAACCCCCCCCCCCTAGGTGCGTGACGTCATTTATGGACGGCCCCTAAGGGGGGAAATAAAACACAAGATGTGAACTGGTTGTCCGAACATTCCCTGCGCGTCTCATAGCCACATTTAAACATGTCGCAAGCTTTATAAGATGTACAGCTTCATGACGGTTGAAACCCAATCCTGGTAAATCTGACAGTGTAATTTGATCATTAAAATCCAAATCACAACAGCGTGATTTGGATTCCATTACCGAGTGCTACCGAATGTAATTACGAAATGTAAATTCGTCTTGTTCGTTGCACGCTCATTTAGCTCTACAATTTGTATTCCGAGTTAAAAAAAAAAGCAGAACTGAAATAAACATGGTAAATAACATTGTAGCATTTCGTGTCGGGCAAGGGTGGGTTGGCAGTGGTGGTGATGAAACTTTCGTAATACACCGCGTGTTTTGTAGGCTGCTTCATGCATTCGTTGTCAGCAGGGAGCAGTGCATACAAATCCATTGTTGTACTGCACTACGACTCAATGTCAAGGCGCCCCCCCCCCCACCTCTCCTACCCGCCTTCACCAATTGCCTGTCAGCAGCGTGGTGAAAGAATCACCAAACATCACCCCACTCATCTTCTTGGTTCTTTCGGTAAAGTCACGTCCTCTGAGGACGGCTGCTTGCGTTGTGGCCGAAACGTCGTGAGAATTGTATTTTATTATGTTTTATTTTTTTTATTTTATTATTTCCCTTCTACGTGACTTTACCGAAAGAACCAAGAAGATGAATCCCTGCAGTCACGAAAGCTTTACATCGAAAATCACCCCACTCCACGGGACCGCTGCGCTCGCGAGCGCAAAGACACGTGGTGGGCGGTGGGGGGGGGGGGCTCATCCAGCAGCGGATTTGCCAGCGCAGCCGTGACACCTCGAGGCGCTTCGGGTGGAGGTGGTGGTAACTGAAGTAGGGTAACGTGGAGGGGGGTGGTGGAACCGTGGAAGGGAGGGGGGGTAAGGAATCGATTATACAGCACAAGGAAGAGCCCTCCCCCCCCCCCCCTCTCAAAGCCATAACAGCTCCACCACCACTACCACCACCACCAACTAACCACCCTCCCTGGCCCGCCACCATCAATCTTAACGAGGGGCCGGCGACAGCCACCGGTGGTTCCCCGCTGGTGAGCTGGAGATGGGGCAGAAGTTGGGGACAGCCCTTCCTCCCCCACTTCTTCTTGATGGTGATGCTGATGATGATGCTAGGCGAGTAGGAGGGGAGCTAGGGAGGAGACTCCCCTTGCGGGTGACGCTGGGCCACCACCACCATCATCATCACCACCCACCCCCCTCTCTCTCTCTCTCCCCCCGGTGGGTTTGCGCCACGATGAGCTATTTTTGTGGAGCTCGCTGCGTCTCTTCTTGGTCAGCAAAACGAAAGCGGAAAAAAAAAATGCGTCTGGTTTTAATCCGACACCCCCCGTGAGTTCTCCTTCAGCCTTCGCCCGGCTCCGTTTTGCCTGACGCGAGACAGAGAGACAGAGACATAGACAGAGACACAAAGAGAGACACACAGAGAGACAGAGAGACACAAAAACCTCGCCGACTCTTTTGCTTGACCGTTGCCGTTTTGTCATCGTCGTTGCTATCATCATCATCGTCGTCGTTGTTAGTCGCGGTTCGGGGATTTTTTTTTTCTTTCTTCCGTCTAAAATGCCGTCAGGCTACGAGGACAATATTAATAATGTCAACTCCGTTCTGTCGGTGTGTGCCAGTGGCGCGCTGGGCGAGTTGGTGAGTCTGGGATGAAAGAGTGCCCTGAGCTTCCCCCTACCGTGAGTATGAGTGGCATCACTGTACACGCTGTGGGTGGGGGGGGTTACAGTGAGCACGTTGCGGCTGACAGCTTCGCCAGACTCCCTCCCTCAATCCCCCGATCCCTCCCATCCCTTCCTCCTCACTCCTTTCATCCGTCAATCCTTTTCTCCGCCGCCTCTCCCTAGCCCCAATCACCTCCTTCCAACCCTTACTCCATCACCCGCTTCATCGTTTGGTCCGTCACTCCTTCCCTCAATGCCTCCCTCTCTCCATCCTACCTCCCTCACTTAATCGCCGTCTTCTTCACTCCCTCCGTCACTCCATCCCTCCCTGCTTCCAACATACGCTCCATCCCTCCCTCACGTGTCATCCCTGTCTCTCCTCACTCCGCCCGTCATTCCCTTGGCACCATCCATCACTGCATCTCTTCCTCGCTACGCGCTCATCCGTCACTCACATCTCTTACCTCACTCCCCCCTCTTTCAATCCCACCCTCCATCCCTCCGTCCACACTCCCAGATTCAATCCACCTCTCCCATCACGTCACCTCTCATCCTCCCCCACCCTCCTTCTCTCCTCCCTCACCCATACCCCGCCCCCTCCATCACTCCATCCCTCCGCTCCCTTCGCTCCCTTCATCATCCCTGTACCTCCACACCCTCCATCACTCCATCCCTCCCTGATTCCAACATATGCTCCATCCCTCCCTCACCTGTCATCCCCGTCTCACTCCTTGCCACACTATCCTCCGTCGCTCCCACACGCACCGTCCATCACTCCATCCCTTCCTCGCTACGCGTTCATCGCCATCACTCCCATCTCTTCCCTCATTCCCCCCTCTTTCAATCCCACCCTCCATCCCTCCGTCCACACTCCCAGATTCAATCCACCTCTCCCATCACGTCACCTCTCATCCTCCCCCACCCTCCTTCTCTCCTCCCTCACCCATACCCCGCCCCCTCCATCACTCCATCCCTCCGCTCCCTTCGCTCCCTTCATCATCCCTGTACCTCCACACCCTCCATCACTCCATCCCTCCCTGATTCCAACATATGCTCCATCCCTCCCTCACCTGTCATCCCCGTCTCACTCCTTGCCACACTATCCTCCGTCGCTCCCACACGCACCGTCCATCACTCCATCCCTTCCTCGCTACGCGTTCATCGCCATCACTCCCATCTCTTCCCTCATTCCCCCCTCTTTCCATCCCACCATCCATCCCTCCGCCCACACTCCCAGATTAAATCCACCTCTCCCATCACGCCAACTCTCATCCTCCCCCACCCCCCTTTATCTCTCCTCCCCTCTCTCACCCGTGCCCCTCTTAACATCACTCCATCCCTCCGCTCCCTTCATCATCCCTCAACCTCCCCCCCTCCCTCTGTCTGCTGCACTCGAATCGCGTGCAGTCCGTGCTGCTGATTTAAAAAAAAAAAATTCCGTGTGGCACAGCACATGGCGCTTTGAGAGTGCTCGTCTCGTTGTCGTCCTGTCTTCACGGCGATGCTGATGGTGGTGGTGATGATGGGGGTGGTTGGGGGGTCTTCTTTGCACTTCCAATGTTTCACGATCAACGCGCCGTGCTGTACCCTAAATGCCGCGTGCATCGATGCGTTCGCCCACTTGAGCCAGACGTCGTCTCCGTTGGATCCCCGCCGCAAACGCTGGCCGATGCCCGTTATTGTTGCCCGAAGTTATTTCTATTCACCACATAATCTGCCGCAGGAGCGCGCGTTAAAATTGCCCGTGCAGCGTGAGCATTCGTTAACAAACAAAACAAACAGCAAGCCCATTGTGTGCCGGTGTCACGGCACGAATCAAAAGTAGAAAAGTGATCCATGAACGAAATGTTCTGCCGCTCTTTAGTTACTGCATGTGAGTGTCTAGAAGTCTGGGGGTGGGGTGGGGGTCTCCTCCTCGGAATGGTTCTGAATCTCGGCGGGCTCTCACCTGACATTCAAAGAAATTCATGATTTCAAGGACATTGTATTTCAGACAGACTCGACGTCGCGTGTAATCACGCACTTCGCAGCGCCTGTAAAATCATCCGTTGCACCAGAGACTACAACACAAAAGCAAAAGTTGATTGTCTTGCGCGGTGAATGCCGCCCTCGATGCTGTTTACTCCCGAATCCATTTGAGTGGCATTTAATGGTTCATAGCGTCTATGCAATGCAGTACAATGTGCGTTTTTGCGGCGTCTAAATGTCTTCGTGTGTCGATGCGCTGTGTACAGGAACAGTGGCTGTATTTATTTTACAGAGAGCGACGGTCAAAGGGGGGAATGCAAGCAAGGTGACGAGCTTAAACTTATTGAACAGGAGCAGGGAGCCGAGAGCACGATTGCTGGGGGGGAGGGAGTTCCAAACAGGATGAGCAGCCCAATATTGGGGCTTTGACAGACATCCTCGCAATCCTACGATTGTACTTGGGTGCGACATTCTTTCCAGGGATTTGAACAGGACCGTCTTTTGAGCATCCACCGAAAACATCATTGGTTCGTGAGCAAACCTGTTTCTGAGCGGAGGCATCGTTGCCCGGTGTTGTTGTTGCTGTTGTTGTTGTTGTTGAACGCAGGCCGTGTCTGCAAGCTCGCAGAGGCTGGCAGGGCTTGACATCACGGCCCAGCGACCCTGAGCGGCCCAGTTGTGTGGCCCGGCCGGTCAAGAGCTCTTGAGAGAGCGGGGTGTTAGAATTCACAAGCTGGCTCCGCACTTTCAAATTCATTCCCCATCGCCGTTGTCCTTTGTGGTCTCTCGACCCGTGACATCTACGTGCATGCTATTACCCTGCTCCTGTGCGGCATTTGCCGTACCGACATAGCAGAGATGGGGTAAAAGATTAACATAAAGGTTGACATGTCAGGTATATACTTTTTTTCCAGGACCGCGTTCCATTCTTAAACGTTGTTGCTGGACTGTGATTAGGCTGTCATGCTTGCCTGTGCTCGCGTGCGCGCCTGCAGCACGGTGTCAGTACGGTGTCCGTGTGAAGACTACGATGTGATACGATTTGTATATACAGTACGGACATGTAGACGGCCTTTTTGTCAATCCACTGCTGGATGAGGGCCTCGGCATGCCTGTGCGGGTCGTACTATGGGCTCTTTGATGAGCCATCACCATACCGGTCAGTACGGGTTGGTGAAGGCGGGCAGCATAGATATGGGAGCATAGAGGCACAGTACAACAGTGGATTTTGCTGCACTGCCGTTTGCTTGTAACATAGACCCGCATGTGCCTACAACAGAGATTCTACGCATGGTGGTCGCTCATTAAAGCGATGTCCAGGCTCAACGCCTGCTTACCTTTCAAGTTCTGATGCAATCAGGGGCATTCTGCATGATTTAATTGTGGGAAATATAGCTTTATATATAGTCTCCAGGAAACGCGACTGCGTCTGTGGCTCACATGGGCACTGTATGTAGTCATTTCATAAACTGCTGCCAAAAGTTTCAGGACGTCCAATGCTTCCGCGTTGGTATTTGTCGCCACGGGTAGACATTCCTTGCCGACGTGCATGCTCCTCTGCATACATGTGCCCTGCTTGCCACGATCGGTGCTCATGAACAGCACTTCCTACACGCTGTCGTATGTAAGGTAAAACATATCATGCGCAGAGCGTATGCTGCGTGTTTCAGCACCGTATCATACTCCACGTGGTGCGTGTACACGGGGTCACAAGAAGGCGGTTTTACTGAGATCGGTTCGGTACTTCGCTGTTGGACATAGGAGCGTGTCGCCTGCTGAACATCGCTGTTATCACAGGGTGGGGGGGGAGGGTTGTTCTTGTTGTTGTTGTAAGGTGTTCGTGTACCAATTTAAGAGATGTGAATAGCTCCGGGCAAATGTGTCGCACGTTTTAAGTAACGCGTGGTCGTTTTGGAATTGGCAGTTTAATTCATTTTGCCCAACTACACGGGAGCCGGTGGGAGCGAGCAACAGACTGGCTCTTCTCTGACACGGTTTTCTTCCGACATATGCCCAGCAATTCACGGCAGACGCCAGCCGAAATGTGCTTTTGCTATTAAGTGGGCTTTTAAAGATCCGGTGTTACCATTTGCGCCAGTGGAACATTGTGTATTGGTGTTACGGCCCAAATTCAAATTACTGTACTGAGTGAAAATCGGCCACAACTAAACTGTGAAATCCGACCTGTTGGGTAGAGCGATTTGCGTGTGTTCGTTGTTGCCACTGCATAATCACGTTAAACTTGTCCCTTCAGTTGTCCGGCGAGAGCCTTGAGACGTTAAGTTTGAGTCACAACAGAAATGTCGGTGATGATGAGGAGTCCTGTATAGGGGAGTCAGGGACTGGTTTACATATTTTAAACACAAAAACAACATTTTGCATGCTAGTTTAACATGCTCTCAAACAATTGTGCAAACACCAGGATCTGTCTCAACTATTATTTACATTTTGAAAAAAATTCACATCGAATGTCTGAAAATGTCAAATTCAGACAGTAGCCATTCAGATTGGCTAAAAACTGGAGACATCTTTCTATATGTTTGTACTGCCTCTCAACATCCCGAATTTCTTAGAGGCCATTATTATCTAAAGTAAATAATTTTACAGGTGGGGGTTGAGTGGCGCTTCAGCGGTTGGCACACTGCGCTATGAATCCAGCGACTTGAGTTCCCTTCCCGGCTGCGAATACGTTCAGTGGCGAGTGGTATCTGGATCGGTCCTGGACTCCCTCCCTGTATTAAGATCCACTGCCCAGCTTGGTGAAGTACAGCCAAACAACCCCCCAACGACCAACACAGTGGGGGCAGCCCTTATTCTAGCAATAGATTGACAAGGAGCAGTAACTTTGTACTTAGTTAATCCAAACGAGGAGCATTCTGACGGCGCCCTTATCACGGCACTTTACAATATCTGGGGTCTCCCAAAATCCCTTGACAGCTGTTATAGACGACGACTCATAAATGGTCCACGACCGGTAGAGACTATCATTGAGTGTCTATTTCACGTGAGCTTAGGCTACAGTCGCGAATCAATCGTCTTATCTCGAG